AGTTTAGGTAAAGGACACATAAATTAAAAAAAAAAGGGGGGGGGGGGAATATTTTAAGGAAGCAAAAATAGGCTATAAAGAACTAGTCTTCCGTCCTTTTCCTTTCTCCTTCTTTTTCCCAGTTCTCTACGTTTCTGCCAGAGAAATTTGCTCTTCACTATTCCAATTCCATGTGGAATACCAATGTGTGTGCATTTTCCTCTTCACATGTACTGAATAAATTCACTCTTCAAAATCCTGATCCCAATTCTTTGCTTATATTTAAATTTAGGCTATAAAGAACTAGTCTTCCGTCCTTTTCCTTTCTCCTTCTTTTTCCCAGTTCTCTACGTTTCTGCCAGAGAAATTTGCTCTTCACTATTCCAATTCCATGTGGAATACCAATGTGTGTGCATTTTCCTCTTCACATGTACTGAATAAATTCACTCTTCAAAATCCTGATCCCAATTCTTTGCTTATATTTAAATTGCCCTTATAGCCCAAATGCTTTATGTATTTCGGAGAAGCATCTACTAGTTGGAAACGCTTTTTATTCCAAATCATTCCTCTTTGTGAAATTATCTGTATCTTCTGAAGCAGACAGACACCAGATTTAACCTGTTCTTGCTGCTATAAACATCACCAGGTTGGTTTTAACCGATTATTCTGTTTCCGCAGCACTAGATGGTGCTGATGACAGTATCTCTGGAATCTGAGCCTTCAAAAATACCAATGATTCGAAAAGTAACGCTGCTGTTTCAGACCAAGGACCAGTTTGCAAAGCCAAATTTTGGTTCGAACAAAAATTTCGGTCTGTGAATACAATGGCAGATTATGGGAGGGGGAAAAGATGGAAAGCCTACTAATAAATTTTATTTCAGTGTTGCTTCTTCCCTTTTTAACAGGGAATGTTCTAGTGGTTTTGACTAATAGCTATGAATTAGTGGGAGGTTGAATGACGCGTCTTGTTGAGGCTCTGGTGGATAGCACGAAGGAAAAACTAAGATTCCAGTTTTCATGACGTCAAATATATTGTGTTATCCTGAAAACACCAAATGTTCTCAACCTTTGTAACCACCATGGAGGTCTTGTAATCTCATCCGATGTTCTTGCCATATCAGGCCAGTTGTGATTATCACCACCTCAGCAATAGTGTCCCAGTGGGACTGGGAGTCGGGCAGCTGCAGTACCGACCCTGGTTTCAGCCATGCCATCTCGAGCGCATTCCTCGTGCTGGCAGACTCTGGTTAAAGCTTGAGGATGGTACAACCTACCCAGTGGCTTTCACACCGGTTAGTTAGATGCCTTCAGTGTGGTGAAGGTTGTTCTTAAAAGGAAGCTGTTACTCCGTTCTAAGAAATAGATGACTGAAGAGGTGTTGGGAGATGGTGGAATTTATTGAGTTGGCTCTTGAGAGGTAAGATTTGGGCTTGAGAAGCGTAACTAATTCCTTGTGGTGGTGAGAAGTGCTGGAAAAGCCTTTTACTGAGGCTCTTCACTAGCAACAAGGGGATAAGCCCTGATACTCTCAGGAATCTACTGCCTATGAAGAATACATGATAAATTATATATTTTAAGTAAAAAAAAATAAGATAACTTCTTCAAATGCATCATTTCTTGAGGCAGAAAAGCTTTCCTAGCACATGCCTCCAAGCACTGAAGCCGTCCTCCAGTTCCAAGAAATCAAGACTATCTACTCTAAACAGCGAGGTAGTATTTTACCACTTAATTTTTTAATTACTAAACTGGTTTTAATATTTTCTAAATGATCTGGGGAAGAAATCGTCTGCCACTGTCCCAAGTGTCACCAACTCTGAGAGCAACATGCTCAGGTGTTAGTGAATTTTGTTAGTGCTTATTTGTCACAGCAGCCTTTTTACCCTCTAAGGACCAACACAGTCATCCTGGGAAAGCTTGATAGGAGTCCTGTAACGCGCCCAAAAGAAGCCAGAAGAATGTTTTTAAATACAGAAATCCTTAAAACGTATGACCTGTACCAATTTGGGGAGGAGGGAAAGTGGGTTATCTCAGAATTGAAAGCCATGCTTGAGGTAGCCAGCAGCTTTGCAGAAGTATCTGACTCCTTGAAGCTGTTGAGCATAAGCTGGTGGCTTTTGTCCACTGCTTCTGCTTTCTTCTCATCTCTCCTTCCATGTTTGCAGTCAAGTTGTATTCTCCTTTTATATCAGATTATAGCGTCCTCTGGAGTGTCATTGCCATGCTTTTTTTCAAAATGCATGAAAAAAAGTATTTATTTCTCTGTATCATAGAATCACAGAATCCCAGGTTGGAAGGGACCTCAAGGATCATCTGGTCCAACCTTCCTAGGCAAGAGCACAGCCTAGACAAGATGGCCCAGCACCCTGTCCAGCTGCGTCTTAAAAGTGTCCAGTGTGGTGGAATCAACCACATCTCTTGGGATTATTCCAATGATTGTTCTCATTGTGAAAAATTTGCCTCTTATCTCATGTCCAGTTGGAATCTCCCCAGGAGCAACTTGTGTCCATTCCTCCTTGTCCTCTCCATGTGACACAGATGTATATGGACCTCTGATTTCATAGATTATTTCTAAAGCTAAGGGATTGCTTGATTCCTTGACTTAAGCTAAAATAAATTTGGAAAGAATATGTGTTAGTAAAATGCAAAAACTCAGCCTCCAAATACCCAGAGCTTCTGTCATATACTTGGTTTCTTCCTGCACTAAGCCATTAGGTTACTGAAATGAATACTACACAAGATGCTTAAGGATATATTGCATGAGGTGTTGCACTTAAAAATTGTGTTTTAGCAAATACATACAAGTTACGGACTAAAATTGCATGTATACCATTCCTTGTGTTACAGTTTGACTTCTAAGAATTTAACTGTGAACATAATGATATTCCTCACATCATTTATTGTATAGAATACTTCTAATTCAAATTCTTCTGTTGCTTAGCCAAGGTGTTAAACAAATAAATCGGTCACTAAATTCTATAACTATCCTGCATTTGCATTTTAAAAATCTGTATTCAAGTTTGCATTTATAATAAAACATCTCTTCTGACTGGAGAGTTGTAACTATTTCAGGACATTATTGTGAATTTATTTTAATTTTTTTTTCCTTTTTTTCCTTTCCAGTTTATTTTCTTTGTTGTCTAAAAAACACAACAAAGTGCTGGAGCAAGCCACGCAGTCCTTAAGAGGTTCCCTCGGTTCAAATGACTCTCCGCTTCCTGATTATGTGAGTATCAAACTTCATGTTTCAGTAGGTGCTTCAAAATAAAAGTGGTACATCCCTAAAGCTCCAAAGATTTATCAAAATGTGTGACAGCTAAGCAACCACCAACACCAAAATACAGGAACCTGTATGAATGATGTCATGTCTGAAACGTCTTTAAAAAAAAAAAAAATTACACTTACAAATGGCAAAACAAAACCGCAACTATTCATAGCCAAGAGACTTACTGTACCCTGTCAACTTGCAATTCTCAAGCCATTTGTATTTCAGGATATTTAAATCATACAGTTAAAAACATTATTTTTAAGAACGGGGCTTTGGCATCTGCAGTATGTTAAGATGCCTACAAATGATTGAAACAATTCCCAGAGAGCCTTTTGGGGGAGTCCTGCAGACACGGGGCAAATTGGTATGTGCTGAAAACACGGATCCATACCGTCCTCTTCAGTTTACTGAGCCAATACCCACAAACAGGCAACAATTTTGTAATTTAATTGCATGGCTCGTTGGAAAATCTCTAGTTTCGGTACAAGGAGGAGACATCTTCCAAGGACTTGAATAATACCTTTGTACTACTGAAGTGTCTTTGGTTTGTACTCATTTGAACTCTCACTGCAATACCGTGTAAAAAAAAAACCAGTTGATTTATCAATTGCTCTGGATTTTTGAGGATGCAAATGTAACAACTGTTTCATTTTCAGTGTTAATACATGTTCCAGGACATGTCTGTCTGAGACTTTACTATCATATTACTCTAACATTAAGGATAAAAGTACCTTAAAAGATAATTTGATATAATAGTTTAATGACTTAAATTTAATTTAACTCACCCGGTTTCTTAACGTGCATCTTTTAGTTCTTATTGCTGACACATACCATACAAACTAAAGGCATTTTGTTATTCAGAGACACGCGGGTTTAGAGAGCAAATGAATCACTTTCAGGTTTTTCCTGATCCTGCTTCCTCACCATGCCCTAATTCATGTGAAGCTCCTTACGACACCTGTGGTTTTAGGGCATTTGATTTCTTTCCCAGAAGTTGCTATCTGACCCTTAATTTTTGGAACTGGAAACACTTCAGCAAAACTCCCCTCGAGTTAGTTTGTGGTTAAAGACCAGGAGATCCCACTTCCCTTTGCCTGGTAAGGTGATACACAAGCTGGATAAAGCTCTTTCATCTGCGTGGGCATGAATAACTGAAAGCCCCCAAGACTTCACACACCTTGGAGAGGATTTGGTGGCCCTTTCCCATGGATTCGCTTCTCAAGGATTAGGGATTCATGGCATAGGGGCTTCCACGGTTGTGAGGACTGCAGTATTTAGGATGCGCCGAGCATTTCCGAGCGTTGTGATTGATAATGCTCATGGGCCTGTATTTCTTAGAGGTGATTAACCCCAGCGTCATGCCTGGTTCCAGCTTAAGTGATTACACTGCTATGTGTTCAAATTCCTCCCGTGGTCTTGTGGATCTTTACTGAGCTGTCCTGGAGAGCTGTGGTGCTTCCTTTGACTTCCAGGGCAAAGGGAGGCTGCTTTGGTGGAGGTGATGGCTTTTCATACCTGAGATATGTCATATCATAACATACCCTATATCATATCTTGAGATAGTTCTGCATAACATGAAGTATCACAGCCCAGAGGGGTAGGAGTGAGCGCCTGGGACAAGGTTTATGGGCACAAGGGCTCCCTAAGCTGGAACTGCTGGATTTTGAAACTAACCTCCGAGACATTGTGGGGTCTTGGTTAAATAACGGTCAAGCATCTTCAGACACCTAGAGGATAGGGCTGAAATTTTTAACGCTAACTTATATCCCTGAGGCGGGGACTGCAGTTGTACTGGCCTGTTGTCGGAAAGAGGATATTGATATTTAGTCGAAGATGCCCCTGCTCATGGCAGGGGGGTTGGACTAGGTGACCTTTAAAGGTCCTTTCCAACCCAAACCAGACTGTGATTTGTGAAAAGAGACCCATGTATTTTTTTTCCCTAGACAAATAAATTGCCATCGCCGCTGTTCAGAGGAAAGAAAACAGCGCGATACACACGTGTTTGTAAAAGGGCACGTATAAATCAATATATCTCTATGTGCACACACACAGGCATATATTTACATATAAGTGCGTGTGTATGTATGTATATATATATCAGCGTGTGTATGAATTTGGTGCTTGAAAACTATTTTATAGTTCACTGAATTTCTTCCCTTTTATTGTCGGTATGATGTAGGGAGAGAGGGGGAAGGGCAGCAGTTGGAGTGATTGCTGTAGGGGAGCGTAAAATCACTGAAGTGTGTTGCCTGTATTTTGAAAGAAGAATGTCTACTTTTATGCATACCTTTTTTTTTTTCCTCCAAACTGCTCATGTTCCAGATCAATCTGAGGCATAAGCGGTTGACTAAATAAAAGTCGAGGCCAGATTTCATTTACTTCAGCATACTCTGCTTCTGAAAGCCCGTGTTTGTGTTGTCTATAAGAACACCGAAGAATCTAGGAAATTAAATAATGTAAGTGTCTGAAGTCCTGAAGCCCGTTTTACCACTGTATCCCAGGTTGGCGCTAAAGAAAAGGATGATTCTGAGATTGCCTGCTCTGCCCAGGTTTATGTCTAGAGAGGAGGAGGTTTGCTGAGTAAGCTATTCTCTTCACAGGTTTCATTTAGACCAAATACGTGTTTTAAAAACGCATTTTTCATTATTTTTAATTCACTTTTTATTTATAAATTCTTTTTTTCTTACTGTGTTCTGTGAAGTGACGTCGTACCTAGGTCACAAGGGTTAAATCGTACATAAAATTATTCTAGGTGTGGCTTATAGTCTTGTCTTAGAATCATAGAATCATTTAGGTTGGAAAAGCCCTTTCAGACCACCAAGCCCAACCGTTCCCCTACCCCTGCCATCCCACCACTAAACCCTGGCCCTAAGCACCTCGGCTGCCCAGCTTTTAAATCCCTCCAGGGATGGGGACTCCACCACTCTTGAGCCTTTCTGTTCGTTTGTGAGTACTAGACTTTGAAAAACAATTTATGGTGAATACTGTGTGTTCCTTGCTAGGGCCAGGAGGGATATGGACGGAAAAAGGCAGCAACACTGATCTTGAATTTTAAGCCCTGTCCATCGTGAACATCATATGATGGAGCGGGGCTGCGGCACTGTATGCCCGTGCCGTAACGCATACCCATGAAGGGAGCAAATGGAGATTAAGAGACGGGCATCTCTTCATTTCTGGGTGCTCAAGCAGTGGTACTGTTTCTTCTCTACTTTGTTTCCATTACTGTAAAAAGCGAAGGTTTTGACCAAATGTGCAGTCCCTAGGCTGCTGATTATTGATGGTGGTTGAAAATTTATTGGGATCCTCCTTTACTGTGTTTCTTACGTTTTTTGGGGTTTTTTTGTATTGGCTGCAAACTACCATCAGGTCTCTGGTGTACCAAGAAAGCTGCAGATATTTTGCTGTGAAGTCAAATAAGGAACTGACCTGGTTGGCTTTTATGTTATTCTTGCGGTTTTCTGGGCTTTAAAAAAGAAAAGAGCAAGTTGTTTCATTTATTAAGGTTGGACCAGTTTCCTACTCCTTTCCTTGATAAACTGCAATCAATGTGGTGGGATTTCGGAGCAGGATGGAGAAGCCAGCGGGGAGAAGAACCCCCTGTTGTCAAATCATTGCCTCGGAGATAGGATCCCTGATTAGACCAGTTCTCATGCTACTTCGTTTACTGGTTGTTTAATAAGCTTTATTATTAAACATTATTTTCATAGTAGCAATGACCTGTTTTGAAATACCACGCTTTGGTCAAGTTGTCCTTGGCCACGAGTATCTCCAGGACTGAAGAAATGGGAAAAATCCAGTTAGATTTTTTTTTTTTTTTATTGCTTTCTTGCATTCAATTGAAGCGCATTTTCCAAAATTTTTAATAAACAAACTGGTAATAAAGTAGTTGAGAATTTTGCTTCTTCCAGTTCAAATCAAGACAAATTACTTAAGTAAACATATCAATGATTTTCTTTCTAATTTTATTACAGCCTGATGTAATTTGTTAAATCATAGATACTTAAGAGCATAACTGGACTCATGCTAACTTCCCTTGGAAAGTAGCACATCAGACCTGTTCTTGGTGCTACCATCTACTCAAACGGCTGCTTTTTAAGGACGTCATAATATTGTGTACTATTTTTGAGCAATTCAATGCTCGTTATATTACAGCTGGTAATGAGAGAGTCTCCTTAACTATTTCTAGGAAGGGAGGGGATGGAGAAGAAGAGACTAAATTTTGAATTTTGGCAAGCTTATGTCAGAGGTTCAGAATTCTCTTGCTGATGTAAGAAAAAAAAATGCGCTTAATGCAAAAATTGCGGAAAATAAAAATCAAAAGTAGGAATAGTTTTAGGTTCCAATAGTTTGGCATGCATCCTCACTCGAGTCTGGATTTGGATACAGAGCTTTTGATTTGGTTTCTAAACTTATTTCAACATCATCTAATGCAACACAGGGACAAGGGATTTTATGGCAGTGGGAGCCCAAACTCTTGTTTACTGGTGGTGGGCGCGAAGGCTTAGTAGTTAAATGAAAACTCCTTGGGGCACATTTTGAGAATCACTCAACACCCAGGGTAGGGGTCATGGTTCTGAGAACCCCACGCTGCTCGCTGCTGGGAGTTCTTCTCTCTACCAACCATGGGGATTTTACCAACAGCCTTCAGCTGCTTTAGTGGAATAATATTAACAGAAAATAGCATAGGTAAGATGATTACTGGCCACATAGGAAAAATTCTAAAATTTACTTGAGTTTAACTTTATTTTACCTTCTAAATTTTGGCTATAAAAAAATGCATTGTTCTATCCAGATGAAACTTCAATGTGTTAGGAAAAATTCTAAAAATAATCCCACTTAATGCTGTTCTCTCCAATTATTTCATATATAGGACTGTCACTTAGCCAGCTCTTCGATGGTGGGGGAATTTTGTCAGTGCTAGTGTAGTGTTAGACTTTTCATATGTTAGACTTTTCATA